TTTGCCAGTTTATTCAATTGATCCGTTCATTTGATACAATTTGTTTTGATTCACTGCTTCCATAATAGCCTACATAAAATTAATTTAATTCTATGTTTTCCATTTGAAATAATGCTTTTCCTTCCATTAGGTCATAATAAGACCAAGCAGGAAAAATTTTGAAATATTTTGGCAGTAAATATAGCTGGCCCATTCATTTTTTTCCACTTCTTTCTGCACCAGGGATTGTAGAGAGCTTGTTTTTTTCTGTACAGACAAACAACAGCACTGTAACCAGATTAAGAGAGAAAATGTAGTTATAGCCTATGACCTATATGGCATGTCTCAGACATCAGACCTCTGTGTCGAACTCTCCAAGCTATGTCATGTTTTCTCAGATGTGTTTCCTGATTTCTTTTTTTTTTCCTCGACATATTTCTGCTGCTGACGGAGAAATTTAATTAATTGTGTACCGCATTGAATTCAGCAGCATAATTATATCATCACATCATGTTATATAGCCATGAGTGGATGACAAAACTAAAGCAAGGAGAAGGTTTTGAGGAGAAGGAGAAGGTTTAAAGCAAGGAGAAACTCCTTTCACCGTTCTTTTTCTGAAGTAACCAATTCTGAAAGGGAACGAGAGGAGTATAAAAAGAGAAAAAGTTTTAAAGGGGTGTGAACTGCAAGTAAGGAAAGAGAGGTTGGGGGGATTGAGTGGAAAACACCAGGCACATCCCTCTCATTTTACCGTTTGATGGGATGCAGAACATCTGGAATAGATCAGCAAGTTGGAAAATTTGACACTAGGCAGAGAAAGAGCGTAAGAGAGGCAGAGAGGGAAAAAAGGAGGGAGCAAGGGATAAATGACTCACAGCTAAGTTATTCCCGCCCGTGTTTAAAATATGAGTCGTTGTGAGGTGAAAGAGCATGCTTTTTCAAACCCCTCTGCTATCTGTCCATATGTGGGTCTGAATGCATCTGCTGACTTTATGCTTTTTTTTACAACATTTTTAACACTTTTTGTCCCTCATTTCCTTACTATGTTCTCCTCTGTCCACTTAACCCTGAAAATGTAAACACGCATGTCTCTATTGTTTACTTGAACCTCTCGACAAGATGAAGGAGGTATTCCTGGCTGTTACAGAACTGTGTAGGAGGGCTGGGAGTGGGCCTCAATGCTCCAATTGTTAGCCTATCTGGCTCCTCCCACAAGGTTGATGACAGATGGACTGTAGGGTTGAGTAAAGGTCTCGCTTGTGACGAGTTGGTCTAAATAGCTCGAATACATTACTGAGATGATTTCACTGACTCCCAGTCTGGAATCCTGAATAAGCCTCAGAGACGTTTTGTTGTAGAGCACCTAATTTATTCAGTATGTGACCATTTAATTTGCATGAATGACTTATTATTCTGGGGAATTTGAACATGTGACCATAATTGAAATGATTGTAATCACAGATTAACAGCTCAGCCTTGATATTAAAATTCAGGTCATCATTTACTCAAACTCATGTTGTTGCAAACCCTAACCCTAGACCACAACACATGATTTTTTATAATATGTGGCATCATACATAAAAAATTACACATAAATATGCATCTGTTTGCTTTTGCTAGGAGACGCATGAAAAACGAAAACAATATGTTTTCGAAAACTGGCTCAAAATAAACGTTTGATATTTAGATTTTGAGCTTGTTTTGGAACATTTCTACTAAATGCATAAATGTTCAAGATGCAGCTCAACATATCAAATATGTTTTGATAAATATGTCTGGATCAAAATATCTTTGATTTTTCTGTTCCAGAGAGGAAAAAGCAGGTTTGCAACGGCATGAGTTGCAGAGATGACAGAATTGTAATGTTTGTGTGAACTCTCCTTTTAATATGTGAGAAATCTATTAAATGTTTTGTTCATATTGTGTTTTTCTCCTACTGACTGATTACTTTTTCTTCATTTTTCCTAGACAACGAAGAAGAGACAGAGTTTCCTGTTACTCACAGTTGACATTAATTGGCCTGTAAATCGTCTTTTTGTGAGTCCATCATGGCGGTGGTGCTGCGTTCCTCACCTCTCCTGTGGGCCCGTGTGGCTGCCATGGTTTTCGCCTGTGTAGCATTCAGTGTAGCTCTTTATGGAGCGGGTCTAACCCACGGCACGGGTGACTGGTGCGTGTTCTGCTGGAGTTTCAGTTTTGTTGGAACTCTTCTGATAATCTTAGTGGAAATGTTTGGCCTCCAGACCCGCGCCCCTGTCTCATGGAAGAACTTTCCCATCACGTTCGCCTGCTACGCCTCCCTCCTCTGCCTCTCCGCTTCGATCATATTCCCCCTTTACTTCCTGAAAGGCTTTGCTGGTCGCAGTGAGATGATCAACTGCCGCATTGCATCAACCGTATTCTCTTGCCTCGCCACCATCGCGTACTTAAGCGAGGTGAGTCTCAGTAAGGCTCGTCCGGGAGAGGTGGCTGGCTACATGGCCACAGCACCAGGGCTGCTAAAGGTGTGCGAGACCTTCGTCGCCTGCATTATATTCGTCTTTATCAGCGAGCCGATATCGTATGACCAGAATGCGGCGACCAAGTGGTGCCTGGCCGTGTACTGCATCTGCTTCATCTTTTCGGCAGCCATCATCGTGATGTGCGTAGGAGAGTGCACGGGGTGCCTGCCCTTCTCCTTCGCCCGCTTCCTGTCTTCATATGCCCTCCTGGCTGTGGGCTTGTATCTGTCCGCCACCATCATCTGGCCCATATATAAGTTTGACAATAAGCACGGAGGCCAAAGCCACAGACCCAACAGCTGTGGCTCCAGCACCGGGCTCTGCTCGTGGGACAAGCTGCTGGCCATCTCGGTGCTCAGCGCTCTCAACTTCATTCTTTATCTGGCTGATCTCATCTACTCAGCCAGGCTGGTTTTTGTTACTGTTTAAGGGGTTTAGCTAAAAATAATACAAGAAGAAGGCAAAGAGTTAAAAGGCAAAAAGAAGGAAGTGGGTTGGAAGGTAATGATGTTGAAATGAAATGCATAAACTATATTCACCGTTAGCTATCTATATTTTTGTCATGCCTGTTTAGCAATTCTGTGTACAGTGGGCAAAAAAGTTCGACTTTTAAAAACTATTTTTTAAAAATGTAACAAATGGATAAAATGAATGATTATATATATATATATATATATATATATATATATATATAGGGCTGTCAAATGATTAATCGTGATTAATCGCATCCAAAATAAACGTTTCTGTTTACATGTGGGTGCACTGTGTATAATTATTTTGTATATATATATATATATATATATATATATATATAAATATATATATATATATATTTATATAAATACACACACATGCATGTATATAAATATATACAAGTATGTGTGTGTATTTATATATATAAAATAATTATACACAGTGTACCCACATATATTATGAAAACAGAAACTTTTATTTTATATGTGATTAATCGCGATTAATCGTTTGACAGCCCTAATATAAATATATATATATATCACTTGTTACATTGAATATTTTTATTATTATTATTTTTGTTTCTTTGTGCTTTAAGTTGCTTTGCATGAAGGATTCTTTAATTAGCTATAGCTTTGTGAGTTTGCTTGAGTGAATGTAAAAACACACAATATACCACAATATAACAGCTTTCAGCTCATTCAGGTTAATCAGCATCAGTTAAAAACTGTGTTTGCACTATGTAATACTTGATATGTTTCAGTACATTACACTGCTCTTTGTTGTTGTATATGTGTCAAGTCCATATAGTGTAATGAACCGTGCAAAATTCATAAATTCAAATTCATTTTACTTAGACACATTAATGATGAAGGAGAATATACATGTATATTTGGACATATCATTAAACTTTGAAGACATCTTGAATATATTGTTATTGTTATGTTGTACTAGATTCATATTAACGGGATATTATTGCTATATATGTGCATAGGATTTGCAAAGTATGAAAATGTTACAAATATTTTTCTTGTCAAATCTCTATAGGAACCATTGCTGTTTTTTTGTACACCAGCAGACAGTATCAGTTACACACACCTCGTGATAATGAAAGAAAATGAAATGTTTGTTTGCTGTTCTGTAAGTCTCTGGGATCTGCATGTCCCTGTCACAGACTGTTACACAGTCCTCGATGCTTGAATGAGAATGTTTTCATTGTATTATAAAAAAGTGAGAGAGCACATGCAGCATTGTGTCTCTCTCTGTGCTGAGAGGAGAACAGCACACACCACAGCGTTGTGTGAATGTGTAATCAAGCTCTGAATAAAAACTATGATGAAGAAACAAGCGTAATCTCTGTGCATCTGCGATCTAGCCTCATTTACTATTGTATGGAGAGATTTAGACTTACCAACCATTTACTCATTCTTTGTTAAAAGTGACTCATGTGTGAAAAAAGATACCGAAAATCTGTTGACTCATCCCTGAACTATAATGAATCACATTCTAGAACATTCACATAGTGCATTCACCCAGAGGAACATTTATTTATTCAGAGGTCACTTTTTCTCAGCTCAGGAGACTTGGATTGGATTGTTAAGTTATGTTGAATGTGTGAATCACCTTTGCCAGATGTGTTTCTCCTAAAATGAAGACAATTGAATTTAAGAAATGGAATAAAATCAAACGTTGATATACAGAAAGAGTATAGAATATTCAATTGAAAAATCTCCATTTGCTGTATTTGAATTCAATTTCATAAGTCTCTGAAAAAGTCTTGTACGTCTTCAAGTGGTTGCTATTACTCGTGAAATGTCTTGCTTGTTAGTTGGATTATTATTAAAGACGTATCATGTACTTTATCGCAGCCACTTCAACCATTACACATTTTTTTACTTGAATACTTAATTAATCTGTAAGTTAATCTGTATCTATACCCAGTGTGTATTTGCAAGCTTGGAATAACTAGAAAATGTTTAATTCTTTATGAAAAAAAAAAAAAAAAACTGAAAAACAAAAGAAAAACATTTAAATATTTTATTCATTTTCATGACTTCTCCTCCAGGTCTAAATTTTCAAGTTGTCCAGAAATCCTGGTTATGCAAAGAAGAACAATGTTAAGGGGGTGAATTAAAAGAAGAAATATATTGTTATTTTGACATTTTGGCTTATGTTATAGCTTATTTAAAGCCCTCTTGAGGCCCTCTGGTGGAGAAACACTGCTGTAGAGTTTGTTCAGTGGGTTTATAGTGCAGCAATCTAAGCAAGGAACCCTAAATAGTGCTTCAGAATCAAGTATCTTTATTTTATTTTATATTTGTCTTTAAAGTTTAAAGTGCAGCATTTTTATTACAATTACAGTGCAATAGGCACACACATTAACCTATCTGTCAGTGTCGTCTAAATAGGAAGAACTGAGGGGTGTGGCCCAGGAACATCCGTGCAAAACTGCGAACTGATTCTCAGGACCCTATTTCATTTCAAACATTTACCTACAGTAGACAACAAAGTGGAAGAGTTCACAGAAGAGTTTCGCTGTTCGATATGCCTAGACCAGTGAAACGATCCAGTGGCTATACCATGTGGGCACAGGTACTGCATAGAATGCATTCATGATTTTTGGGACCAAAAAGATAATTTGGGGGTCTTCAGCTGTCCCAGTGTGCACAGACATTTAGCCCCAGGCCTTTTCTGAACGATACCACACTGGCAGATATGGTGGACAAGCCGAAGGAACTGGAACTTCCAGGCAACTCTGAGATTTGTAGCAATTACATGCAAGGTGGTGTAACCTGTGATTTCTGTACAAGTATCAAACAAAAGGCTGTGAAATCTTGTTTGGTATGTTTGGCATCTTACTGCCAAAATCACCTTCAAGCACACAACAAATCTCCTGCCTTGAAGAAACACAAGCTGATTGAAGCCTCTGTGAACCTCAACCTGCAGGAGAAGATATGTCCTCATCATCATCAATATTTGGAGATATACTGTCGAACTGATCAACAGTGCATGTCCTTTGTGTGTGATGGAGGACCTCAAAGGTCATGATACAGTACCAGCAGCTGTGGAAAGCACAAATAAACAGGTAAAAAAAAAATGTTTTCAACAATCACCTTTCTTGTTTTCCTTTTGAGTGTGTAATTTAACAAGATACTTTTTTAACTCAATGGAAGACACAGTAAATTACACTCAGAAGCCTAAATCATTTTCCAGAGGCAATGCACATTTTCCAAAGTGCACTCCAGCTCAATTTGAACAGCTTTCATTGTACAGAAAAGTTGCAACAGAGTAACAGGGACAAAATGTGAGAGAAAGGAGGCATTGATTTGACCAATGTTTTTGAGGCTGTATAATTTATATCTCTGCTGAATAATAAAAGTATTAATTTCTTTAAAAAACAAAAACATCTCACTGACCCCAAACTTTTAAACGGTATGTTCTCTTTCATAGGTTTACTCAACGCTGCGTAGCTTAAGACGCAGTGGGAACGCCCTCCGGGTGTGTCGATTGTCTGCATGGAGCCCTTATAGAATCACGCCAATTCATTGGCTGATGGCGCGGGCGCCGCCCTGACGTTTCTGTGTCATCATATTATATTAGTGCGTGCGCTAACTGCTCCTCCGATTTCTCTACCTTCATGAAGCGGCCATCTTACCCCTTCGATTTCGTTTTTTTTTTTTTTTTTCCGAAAAGCAGATGGCGCGCGCACTAATATAATATGATGACGCAGGAGCGTCAGGGCGGCGCCCTTTTTTTTCACACAAAAAGTGCCGAAAATTTACAGAATAAGCAGCCTAGTGAGTTTTAACAAGACCTTGAATAGGGAAATAAAAGAAAGACTCAAAAATATGAGTAGTTTCTGGAGTAAATACATGCAATAATCTCTGTGTTTACACAGTTTTTTTTTTTTTTTATGTTTTGCATGCGCTCGGCCAATCCGCGAATATAACGTCACAGATAGTTCCTGTAGTTCTGGTTTAGACCCTACTCTGAATAAGGAGCTAAATTAGTTCATCCGAAAGAGTTCCTAAACTAAATTAGTCCCTGCGGTTGGAACACACCAACATCCGGGTACTTCAGCCAATAGTTCTTGGAACTATGAAAGGGTTCCGCAGTGCGAAAGCCCTTAGTGTTCTTCAACTTCTCATCGGATATGTATTTATATGATTTGAATAATAATACACCATGAATAAATATTTTTGACATGCTCTATCCATTTCTCAGATTTCTGCCCACTGCAACTAAATCATTTAACAGCCCATAAGGACCTTAGTTTGTCCAGTGGGAACAGAGAAACGGCTGTTCAGAGCCAAGAGCAATCCTGTCTCGACCACCCGGAGCGCTTTGATTACTGGTGCCAGGTGCTGGGCACTGAGGGCCTGACAGGCTGCTGCTACTGGGAGGTGGAATGGAGTGGGATGGGAGTAAACATTGCTGTTGCATACACAAACATTGCCAGGAAAGGGGAAAGCAATGAAGCTCACTTCGGTCACAACGACAAATCCTGGAGTTTGTTCTGCGGCAGGAGAGGTAATGCTTTCCGACACAACAGGATTGTCAATAAGATCTCAGAGCCTGGCTCGTCAAAGTTTGGTGTTTATCTAGATCATAGGGCCGGGACACTAGCTTTTTACAGCATTGATGACTATATGACCCTCCTTCACAGAGTTCAGACCACATTCATACAATTGAGTTTGTGAGCTGTGGAGCCTCGATCAAACTGCGTCAGTTGGAGTAAGGCAAATTTGGCATTGAATGAAAGAATGAGTAAAATATTGAAGATAAAATAGATTTACATGAAATATCAACACAAATTATTATTAAGTGTACACAATATTTTTGACCGAGACTCATAAGCCCAGTTTCAAAATGAAAATTTGAATTTTCATGTTGTGGTAAATAACTAGCTAATGGCTAACATTAAAATAATGCAAATATTTTGTACAAATTATATTATTGTATTAATAATAAAGTACTAAATGCTAAAATAAGTAAATTAAAATTTTAAGTGAATTTAGGCATCAAAATGAAATTCGGCACCTAATCAGTATGATTACTTAATTGTAACAGTAATTACATTTTTAAAGATTTTAAAGATTAACTTTAAGTGAGCATTAAATGATGTCAATGGTAATAATTAGACATGTATATATATATATATATATATATATATATATATATATAAGTAGCCTACCATTTGTCAACATTATATATATATACAGTATATATAGGCCTATACATACATACATATATATATATATATAATGTTGACAAATGGTAGGCTACTTATATATTCTATACTCCTAATCGTAAAACTATGCAAAATATTTTTTTCCAACCAAACACATGTGACACATTTATATCCATGATGATGTCTTTCCATTTAAACTACTACACACTGTGAATTGCTGTTATTTCTGTCCATGGAATGTCCCTTAAGGCTAATATTGTCTGAATGCCTTTACACTTTCTCTGTCAGTTCTGATTAAAATTGTCAGTAAATCCAAATAAAATAAAATACATTATGTTTATCATTATATTTTCTTTGCCTTTCAGAGTCAACCTCATTCTTCACAACGCAGAGTCTTTTTCCTTTGATATTTTATGGCATTTAGCGTGTTTTAACAATACAAGCACTCGAATAAATGGCGCACTATTGCAAGCCATTTTTACACTTAATCCTTAAAAAGTACCAGAATCTATTTTTATGCTACTAGTACTTATTCACTAGCTACTAGTGCTTTAGGTACTAGTGCCTATTCTTCAGACACTTCTTTTTCTTTAAGTAATAGTACCTTTTAAAAAATATTTTAGATACTAGTTTGTATTTATTAGACAAGTACTTATTCCAGTAGTGTCTAGTATTTAATTATACTTAATTATACTTGCCAAGAAATTTAGAACTAGTACTTTTTTTTTTTCCTTAAGAGGGACTAGTACTTTTTTAAATTTTAATTTCTGCTTAGTATGAAAATAATACATTGAATATTAATGAACCAACAACATATAAGAGAGAACTTAGACATAAACAGAAATACAGAGATGGCACTAGAGGTGATATGAATGTAATCTTTTTTAAAATTATTATTCTTAAATTATTATTATTAAAATTACACACACACACACACAGACACAACACTGTAGTAACAATGTTGCCAGTATTACTGTAAAAAAAAAAAAAAAAAAAACATTAAAAAATGGTAAGGTCTAACAGTGTGATCAACTCTAAAACTCTTGTCATGTTTTCTCTCAGCTTCTACAGGAAGAACACGACACTTGAACAGCAACCAAAGCTTTACAGACAAAATAACAGAAATAGCGACATCTGGTGGCTAAATTAATTTAAAATATATTATGTTAACAGTTGTAGGACTCCCTCTTTACCAAACGTGCATGCTCTCCCTGAAGTAGATGAGCTCACTCTTCTAATTTACATAGGCCCTAATAAATACACTTTTGTAAATACTGTATTATAATCTATTATAAAATCTAATCATTTGTAGAAAGATAGGCTAGCAATTAAAACATGATTACATGTATTATAATAGAATATAAACAACATTGATATGTTTGTTAACTTAGTACATTTGGGCAACCTAAGACTGGCATTTCTCATCTATTTTTCCAGGTGTATTTCTCATCCCTTTTGGCTGCCTGCAGAAATCCCGGCTGTCCCTCAATGAATGCTTTAAACTCCAAGCATGATCATTTAAAGTTTAATCTCACTTTTTACTTAGTAAGTAACTTTTCTCTTTTCACCCAGTCTGAGTTGTAGGTTTAAATCATTTTTTCTTTGACACTTGTGGCTCATCCGATTTTGTTGTGTTATATCCTCCTTGTCCGTCTCTCCGGCTCCCCCTATTTCACAAAACTAAATAGGTAAATAGAAAGTTTTAAAAAAGCTAGCTACCAACTGAACTCGCACTGATTAATTGATTAATTCAGGTGTGCCTGACCTCAGTAGTCACGGCAACAATAATCAGACACACCTGAATTAATCAATTTGACCAATAATGGCAGACAGGAAACAAGGAGCTGGCGTAAGTTCAGGAAGTAGTGCAGCTGTGCATAAAGCCCATTCGTGTCCAAAAGCCCAAAGAACACATTTTCCGGGACTGTCGCTCAAAGAGAACATTCCCGGGAAAACAGGGACAGGTGGCAACCTGAATGATGTTTGGGATAACCAGTGTAACTGAGGAACACATCCGGGGTCCATACGGTCCACGAAGTCACCGATGTGGTTTCAGACCAAGATAGTTTACCAGCGCCAGTTTCGGGCTGAAAATATGCTGGCAGTCCAAGATGCGGCCCTGTTTATTTTGGAACAACACAACATTCCCACAAGACAGATTTTAGCATATACCGAGGTGATTCAGATTAATTATACTGATTTACAACTGAGATTAAATTATTTGCTTACCAGCTCCACAACCTGAGGTTATATTAAATCCAGATTTTTTTAAAGGTCAAGTTGCATTAAATGCCTTATTTTTGTTAAATCTTTTGCTTATCTCCTGGACTGTGCAAAGCTATTTTTTTACTGAAGCTGAATGAACTCATGGTCGTCAGAACTACTGTAATGAAATTTCTGGAGTTCCTGCTTTACCCTCTCACCCATTGCCATCTATTACTGAAACATTCAAACTAAATTTGGACATTGAGAAGTTGAGAACAATCTTGTACTTACCCTCACTGTCACTGTCTCATGGTGCTCCCACGGTCACTGTGATTTTGCCAAAGACACATTTTGTTGGAACAACGTTCCTGTCCGAAAATGCAGTCCTAACCCTATCCCTACCCGTAAACCTAACCACACTCTAAAAAATGCTGGGTTATTTTAACCAAATGTGGGGTAAAATATGGACAAAGTCAAACATTGGGTTAAAAATGTAATTTAAAAACGTAATCCAATGGCTGGGTTTGGCCATATTTTACCCAAAATTGGGTTAAAGCAACCAGCATTTTTTGGTGTAGCTCATAAGTTATCGCTAAAATCAGGGAAATAGGTAAATAACAGATAAGGAATCAGGAAGATGTTGCACTTGAATCATGTTAACAGCGCTTCCACAGTAGGATATTTTTTTTTTTAGAAATGGAACAAGTAAAAATGGAACTAATAAGTATTGTTGTCATTTATGAATCAAAATATTATTTTAAAAATGGTATGCCAATTAACTTCCACTAGGGTGCTACTCTCTTGTCGTATTCCACTCAGTCTATTACATTGTCAACCATGACAGAAACGTGTCATAACTCACAAGTCCACATTATCTTCCTACAATTCAGTGACTATGAATTCAATGATTATAAAATTTGATATTCTCCCTTTACAAATATTTAGATGTTTGAGGGTTTTAATATTTCCTATGTGGGGTCAGGGGTGAAGTCACATTTAAACTACCAAGACACTGTGTACAAAGGACATGTTCAGTGGTCCCACAAATAGACAGCAACAATTAAGGCAGTTTTCCAGATAAAAAAAAAAAGGAAATGGGGAAAATATTAAGGTTTTGTTTAACATTACCTGATCGTTAAATTAATTACCCCCATAAATTGACCATTTAGAGGATCAAAACATAATAATATAATGATAATTTATTTTGCATACAGATTAAAAACATTAGTTCCGTTCAAATATGCAGTCAGGAAGCAGTAACAGGTACATACTTACAACTGTATGCCTGCCTTATGTTTTACCACAGATTCCCCACTGAAGTAGCGGCGCAGTCTTTATTATTATTGCCATATTTTAGCAATATACCATAAAAAATTATACAGAAAATGTTGATATGATATTATCTATACACTGATTATCATTGAACTACAGCTGAGAGGATGTTGTCATCCGGGTCGACTGTCCATGTGTGACTCCATCTGAAAAGATCTGATATCCTCTCCAATGAATTCAGTCACTGCAGGGATGAGAAATTATGGTAGAAATCATTTAATTGATTGATACAGATCTATCATGAGACTCTGGTTCTACTTAGCAAATCTCATAATGATTATCCATTTCAAGTTGTAAATAAAAAAATGTATGATGCCTTAAATTCACTTGTAGCATTTAAAATGACTGAATTTAGAAAAAAAATTTTTTTTTTTTTTTACAAAATAGAATAGAATTTAATATAAGCCTTTTATTGGTTATTGGTCATAACATGGCTTATTGGTATCTATATAATGACATTCAGTATCATTAAATATTATAATAATATAATGTTTTACATTCAATAATACTTAATACAAAATATTACATTATTGTAATTTACCATTATCTACAAAATTATATAATAATAAATGATTATTTATATGATTACACTACCATTGAAATGTTTGTGGTCATTTAGATTTGAAAGAAGTATTTTATGCTCAACAAGGCTGCATGTATGTAATAAAAAATACTGTAAAACAGTAATATTGTGAAATACTGTTACAGTTTAAAAGAACTCTGTTCTATTTGAATACATTTTAAAATGTTATCTATTCCTGTGATGGCGAATCTGAATTGTCTGCATCATTACTCAGTGTCACATGACACTTCAGAAATCATTCTAATATGCTGATTTGGTGCTCAAGAAACATTTCTTATGATTATCAATGTTGAAAACAGTTGTGCTGCTTAATATTTTAACTAAAACAAAAGAAAAGTGTTTTATTTGAATGTATACCTTCTTGCAGAATAAAAAAAAATTCTGTAAAG